TCTTCATTTGTCCCAAATAGAGAACTCAGATTCAGTTCTTCAGCTCTCAAGAACTCAAAATTTGTTCTTCAGGTTTTTAATAAATGATTTTTGTTCTTTGAAAAATTGAAAAACAAATTTTGGGTTCTTGAGAGCTGAAGAACTGAATTTGAGTTCTCTATTTGGGACAAATGAAGAACAAAATTCGCGTTGACTTTTCAGTTCTTTGAAAAACTGAAGGACACATTTTTTTAAGAGTGTAAGTGATTTTGGCCATTCTCCAAAAGCAATTATGAAGGCAAAATTGAAAATCTATCTTTTATCAACACAGTGGGTGAGTGCTCAAGATATCACAGTCGTGCCTTGGAGTAGAGAAAGGAACGAAGTCGCCAGAAATTTGGGCATGTTTCTATGAAAAAAAGAATTTCAAGTCATGACTTGTCATCTGTCCTGACTTGAGAAAGTTCTTTTGAGTTGGAATCCCCGTGACTTGCCCAGCTCTGAAATTAATATCGACATTTTTAATAATCACCAGTCTTAGTGTCAAAACTATCATTAAAATATTCCCAGATAGCACGAGGATTTTGACCAATGCTCGAAGAACTGTTACCTCAACTATTTTCGAATCGATTTATAGACATTTTAAATATTTAACGAAAGTTTATCGGCTTTAGACCCTTCAATACTAACTTTTAGGTATATTCGAATTGTTTACTGACAATGATATTGATTCTTCAACAGTAGTGTCGTATCTTGATCGAATAATTAAGTTAACTAATCTGGAACATTTGAATATCTATAATGCTATACCAAATAATGGTTATTTATTTAATGAATTATTATTGCAGTTATTAACATCGCGACGCACACCAATTATTAAATCGTTACAATTCACATCATTTAGTAGTCCATTTGATGATGAATTACTCTTTATTCGTATGAGAAAAAATATCAAAAAAATAACATTATGTGAATGCAAACCGCTAACAATTGATTGTGTTCATTTGTTTGCTGATATGTTTCCAAACGTTGAATCGTTATCAACGCGAATTGATCTATTAGAAATTGGGAGTGTACTATCAATTTTATTGAATAAAATGAAAAAACTATCATCTATAACACTGGAATTATCAAGAATAAGAAATGGTAATAATTTTAGTGATTTGGATGAAAATATCGTACTACATTGGCTAAAATTCCATATTAGTAATCGTTCGTACACAGCTAAATTCACTGAAGATGGACTATTACGTATTTGGATGTAAAAATCTCATTTGAAATTTCGGTTTTTATCACGCTTTTTTATTTATTCAACTTTCTTTTTTACTGATTTTAACCGACGACCTTAGGATTAGACATTTGTTTTTAATAAAATAAGAAAATAAAATTATGGTTATACCTTGAAATTTAAGGTTGAGAAAACAAACTGTATTGTATGGGAAAGAAGAGGACAGAGCGCGACTTAACTTAATTTAGTGGTCTTTTGTAAATAGTACCTATGAGTAGGGATGCAGCGGTTTCAGTTCCCAGTGCGAATCCCAGTACGCACCGGCGTGCATGGCACGGCATCGGTCACTGGCTGGCACCGGTGCGCACCTGTGCCCAACAAGTGCCGATGTATTTCAGTCCAAAAGGTGCCTCTCCGGTAAAAATCAGTATCACACTGAAATTATTTAATCAATTTAATTAATTTTTTATTATGATTGTTTGTGCTGAATTTTGTATTAGAATGCCGCGCTGATCAGTATCACATTGACATATCAGAATCATACGGCGCTGCCTCGGCACTTCTCTTACGAGAAGGAAAAGATGAAGTCAGAAAGACATTCGAAATATTAAAAGGGTACTGTGGTGTTTAAATAGACAGAAATTGACAAAACAAAACTTCGGCACTGGTGCGAGATTCTTGCATCCTTTCCGCACTAGTGTGCACCGGTGCGAGATTTTTACAGTCTTTCTGGCACCGAAGCCCAGGAAAAAAAATTATTCGGCACCGGTGCTTAAATTAGTTCATTAAATCAAGATGTAGATTTGTATGTGCTTTTTTCTGGTTTTAGCGGTTTTAGCTTTTTGATTGTCAGTTGACCGAAACCGGTACAGATAAAATCAGATGTTTCTTTGACAATAGTGAATAGATACTATGCACTCACTCTTTATATTATTTTTAAACCTTAAATAAAAATGTTTGCGAGCTTTTCGGTGTTGGTTTAAACCGAACATCGGTTTCTTCGGTGTCGGTTTAAACCGGATATCGGTTTCTTCGGTTAACCGGCACCGGTGCATATGAGCGTTATGGTTCACTTTGGTCGACAGCATTAAAAAGATATAAAAACACAAAATTAGTTACGTTTGAATAAACTCGAGTTGGTCCACGTTGAAAGTTTTCTTATTATTTTGTTTGAACATAATTGTATGAATTTGTTTAAATAAAATTGAAAATGTGTATATACCAATAAAAATGTTTACACAAGATCTCTGATCGTGTATATTTGCTCGTCAAATTTTGTCACTACGTGTGTGAAATTAAGTAGTCATCTTTCGTTAACATAGACTTAGACACTTTCTAATATTTTAACAAATACTCACTATTTTTCGCTCGATTATCTCTCACTGTCACAATGTGATATTACAATCCTTGCTAATTCATCATATGCTCAACTCATTCATTGTTTATGCTCTCGCTAAATGACATCGTTTTTTGGAACCTTGAAATTATCATATATTAAAAACAAAATAACAAAAAACAAAGGCAATGCTTGAATTAAAATGTTTCTTGCCTAAATTAAAAGGCTTTCCTTTTATTGTCATTAATATCGTTATTATTCAGTGGCTTATATGTTAATAACACGACTTAATTTTTGTACACGATTTAATAACAGATCACCTTTTTTAATAACTTCTTGATATAAAAAATTTTTACTATCTGGACGTGTTGTTTCAATAATACCACGAACTTTATCTATTTTACAATTTAATCTACCAGCGGCAATAAAACGTGATAATTCTTTGTCTAAAAATGTTTCCGTACAATCAAATGCTTGTGCCATACCTTTTATCGTTAAACTAGAATAAGATTGTAACAATTGGTTGTAGGCAATAATACGCATTTCTCTCACATAATATTGAACATGCTTCTCTAAATAACGATCTTTTTTTAATAAGTTTTGTTCAATGGTTGCTAAGCATCTAAAAAAATCACCATATCGACATTCATATAATGAGAATAAATAATCTTTTATTATCGGTAAACCATGTAGAATTTCCAATACTTCACTACCACGTATAACTAAAATTAAAATAAAATAAATTAGAAGTATTTTTTCTTCTTATTGTAGAAATTTTGATATAATATCTGTTGAAAGCATGCAAAAATAATCTTCTACCTACTACTACTACTACTACTATCTAAATCTTTTTCTCTTTAGTCTGATTAAATTGTAGTGGAACGACAACACTTCTTTAAAATTTGTTAATAAGAAGGTTAGTCTATTGAATAGTCTATACCTTTTTCTCTTAATTTTGGTCGTTCTAATGCTACTAAACTACAAATAACTGTATAGGTTACAAATGTTTGATAATCCATTAATTCATATGATGTAAATGTGGCTACTGTATCCAAAAATAATTCAGCTGCTGTTTTAAAATCTCGAATTGACATTGCTCGTAAACCCTGATAAACTTTTAAACGATTGCGTCTATCCCAATCACCACCTTCATCCACTAATGTTTTTGCTTTATCTAAATTTCGTTCTATTAAATCTTGATCCAAATAAAATAAACCTAAACGTAATTGATAAAAAATGATATCTAAACGATGACCTAATGTAACAGTTTTTTCATATGTTTTTCGTAACATTTCTAATGCTTGTTCATGAGCACCAATTGAACATAAATATTGTGATTTGGACAAATAAGATTCACGTATTTCACTTTCACCAAATGATTTTTCAGTATCATCAATTTTTGCATCAAATTCTTTAATTGTTTCCAAATTTTTTTGATGTAATTTCTTATAAAATTCATCATCGTAAATTATACCACAGGAAGATGGTGGTGTACATTCTTTTGTACATTGTAAATAGAATGGTGCCATATTGTTTAATGATATTTCATTTAATAATTTTTCTTTAATCACTTCATCATTCGGATTTAATGATAACAGAAATTTATATTGAGCCAATTCTAAATTTGGATTTTTTGGTAAACCTTCATCAGACAAATCTTCAACAGGCATTTTTTCTAATTTATTTTATACAACAGTTAGATATAATTTCCTATCTGAAATAGGAGAAAAATTGATATTAATACAGATTGTTTGCATGATATCTACAGAGAAAAATAACACAGAATAGATGAGATGACATATGGTAGATGGTAATAGTCAGTGATTACACTGAATTAATACAAACAAATTTGCAAATTGTAGTACGATCGATCAGCATTTTCAATTAATATGAGAAAAAAATGGTGATTCTGCTAACTTGTCTATCAAATTCTTTTGTGATTTTTCATCAACAAGTGTCTGACGACATTTTTTGTCTTGATCACTAAATGTCTGCCAAAATTTAAAATTACCCATCATAATCGAAAATCCCGGAACCACTGTGACTGACAAAGCGGAATACAACCATCTTATACGAGTGAGCCTCAAGAAGTCTAATCTCTCAAAATATCCACGTCACTATATATATATATAGATATATGCATCGAACGATTTTTTGCAGTATAAAATTTAGTATAAATCTAAAATCTAAAATGAACAAAAGAACAGAAAAAGCGAAACAGAAAATAATCTCAGTTTCAGAATAAGAGCTCTCAGATCCTCGCTAAATCCTAGCCTTCTGGGTCAGTAAAGATTTGACCACTACTATGTTTCTATCCCTCAAAGAAAACATGTCATTTTGTCTATTGTTGTTGTTTTTTATTTTCTAATAAATGGGAAATGTGTGATCAACATATTTGTGCCACGCATAAAACCCACCTATAATATCTTTAATTCCAATTGTTAATGAGTTTTTTTCATTATAATCTTTCAACAATTCGTAAAATTTTCTGACAGCTATTTGTGAATCATTACCACGTCGACATATTACAACAATATTTTTTAATTGATGTTTCTCTATTAGATCTGTTAGTGTTTTTACTATCATGCTACTATCACCCCCTCCGATGATTGTATCAATCGGTAAGTTAATAGTATTCGGTAAACGTCCTATTGCTAATTCATGTGTAGGTCTCACATCGATCAAACAGTGTTGTTTTACTTTTTCATCATCACTCAACCATTTGATATATTCATCTGCCCTTAATCTTTCATCTGAATTTAATATTTTTTGTTCAACTGGATTATCGTTGGATACTGTTCGTTGACAAAATAGATCATAATTTTGCAAAGATTGTATGATAGGATTCTCACTACAAACGGCACATGTAGATTGTTTTTGTCTTAATTTAATAACACGAAAAGTCATTGCTAAACCATCAAATAATAACATACGATTGGATAAAACATCACCAATGTTTGTTAAAACTTTTATTGTTTCTAATGCTTGTAAACTTCCTAGTGTACCACATACGGGACCTAGAACACCGACATCCGAACAATTGGATGTAGCTAACTCAGGAGGAGGTACAGGATATAAACAACGAAAGCACGGTCCATTTTTATAATTAAATACTGTTAATTGTCCTTCAAAACGTATTGCACTTGCTGATATCAGTGGTTTATTTAATAAAATCGAACAATCATTAATTAAATAACGTGTTAGAACATTATCTGTACAATCTACGATTACATCATAATCATTAAATATTTTCATCGCATTCTCGCTTGTTAATAATTCATTGTATACATCTATTTTTATAGTTGAATTTAATTTACGACAGTTTAAAGCAGCTGATTCAACTTTGGGTTGATTTAATGTTTGTTCATTATGAATGATTTGTCGATGAAGATTTGTTATATCAATACTATCATGGTCTAGCAGACCAAGTCTACCGAGGCCACATGCTGTTAAGTACAATGCACAAGGAGATCCTAAACCGCCACAACCAACAATCAGCGCTGAACTTTGTTTCAAACGATCTTGACTTTCCACACCAAATTCAGATAATATTAATTGACGTGAATATCGGCTCACGTCTTCATCATTTAATGAATGATCACGAATACATTTTATGAATGCCATCTAAAATGAGCCTTTGGTGACAGAAAAACCACAGGAGCAATTTTATCATTATCTGATTCTGAAGACAGAGAGAAAGCAAGAAAGATAGACAACCAGATAAACAAAGCACCCCTATAATAAACATTTGATGATTCTAGCTCATTAATTGATAGTTTTAGACTACCAAATGAACGTCGGCTTCCTCATATTTAAGAAATGATAAAACATTGGTAAAAATATTGTTGTTTATTTCTCCTTCAATTGAGTTCATTACATTATGTACAGACAAAAATAAAGCAATAACAACAAATGAGAAAAAAAACTAAAAAAACTTGTTTTATTTCCTACACATACAATCACACTAGTACATGAGCAAAAAGTTTCCTTAACGTCTTTGCATATTTTGATTTCTTAAAAATGACATGTGTGGTTTATTACATTTATTGGCATAGTGCCCTTTTTCACCACATCTAAAGAGAAAAAACAAATACTACTAACTATGTATGAACAACAATTAAGCACATACTTGAAACACGTGACATCAAACTGATGATGAATGACGGCACCACCGATTGCATGATCTCCATTTTGCTGTTGTGTATGCTGTGGATTATCTGGATTCGCAGGTGTTTGCTGCTGTTGCTGTTGTTGTTGTTGTTGTTGTTGTTGATTGTGATAATAATTGTGATATGGTCTAGGATTTTGTGGATCAAAGTTATTGTTATAATGTCGATGATCATGAAAATAGGAAACAGTTTGTGATGGTTGATTGATGTATTTAATACGTTCTTCTGGTGGTAACTTGAAACATGATGCGGCTTTGTGTCCAGTTTCATGACAGTAATCACAGATGAATATGACTTTACGTGTTTGCATAGCATATTCTGTTGTAGTTGGTATCTCAAAACTTGGATGAGAATATTTGCATTGTGCACCGTCCGGACAAAAGCCGCATAGATAATTTTGACATAAAACTTTTCTGGTATGACGATTTTTACAATTGGGACCATGACGACAAAATCCTCGATCATACCATGGACAATCTAAAAGAAACAAACTTTGATTTTGTAAGTCTCATTAACCGTTAAGAATGCAGGGATAAACTGAATGAAGTACTCTCCGTAACGAAGAAATTTTAACTAATAATTTGTGCACAAATTGAAAAGAAACAAGAGTGTTTTCTGCACCGATTACTTAACAATAAAAACCGCCTATCCTAGTGATACAATTTGCAATTTTCTCTTTTTGCACATTTGACATTCCTCATACCTATTGTTTTAGTTCAAGTCTACTGCTGTACATCAAACGAATTCCCTTCCTACTCTCCTTTTCCGTTGCTATTTTTTGTTCTTCTTCTCTTCTCTGATACAGTTTAAACCGCCAAAAGTGTTAGCAACATATTCACACCTCTTCCACTATCTCTTTGAGTTGCATAGACTAACTCTCCTGTTTGCGTTTGCTAGAGATCGAGAATCCACCTGTATATGCGGACGGACGTCTGTGAAAACTTAAAAGCTGCGGAAATTTTTGAAGTACTGAATGAAGCTATATTTTTCGGTTTTACTAACTATGTTAGTCACGTTGTTACCAACGAACAGCACGCCGATGGAATATCCGATTTTTATTCTTCTATTCCTTATTGTTCTCAAAATGCGAAGCAAAGCCGTTTGTGAATCAGTCGCATCTATTTCGGAAGGGTACACATATAATAATTGACCGTTGCTGTACGAGTCGTTAGACGATGAATTGGTTCTTCACTTAAATAGTTCTTCGCTTAATTTAGTCATTGTCAAACGATCGTTCAATTCGTATGTCCAGCGGTTGTCGAATAAACAGCTTTTTAGCAAACAATGACAAGTTTGGAAACTAGTATCTCCCGACTCCGTAGTGCCAAACCGATTACGCAGAACGAAGCTAGCACGAATACCCGAACAAAGATGACTGTAAAATCAATGAATTATGAACAGCATTCCTTAAACATTTCAATGCTTTCGCTGTGTATTTGTCTTCTATATTGACAAGAGTAAATAACCTGTCTGCACTTTATGTACGTACAGTGAAGCACGTGATTACTAGCCACGGAAAAAATCAAGCTACTTAAAGACGAAAGACTTATGTTTTTTCATGATGGAAACTTTAGCGAAAAATTCCACCATGATCGGAAAATTTTCAAATTCGCATGTAGATTCGTGAACTCTTGTGTTTGCTTACTAAAAGCGGCTAGGTAACAATAGTTTACATTGTGTCACATTTAGAGAAAAATCCCAAAACTTAACAAACAATAATCAATTCGTCTCACAGAAAAACGCTAGGAGAAGATTATTCTGCTAGTGGGTGCCAAAACTATGGACAAATCTTAAATGATTGGCAAGGATTATTTCTAAAGTTTGAGAAGACATGGTAACATGAGAAATGAGAGACTCAAGCAATTCCAGATAAAATTTACGTACCACGAATTTTAGATTCTGGATCCAAATGCAAAAATAAACATTCTTTGTTCATACATTGACCAAATTTGGAAAAAAAATAGCATTCTGGCATTTTCGTCATATCATATTCATGTAAAAATTCACAATCATCGCCTAGAAAATTAACAACAACAGTTGCATGTACAATCAGTAAGAAAGCAAATACTTTACCTTTTTTACATAGACCACGTAGCCAATGTTTACAAACAACAGTTTTATCCCCGTGAACATGACGAAATGGACAGTTTTCGTTGGTGCATTTTGCTCGTAAAAAATATTCACATACTCCTACACCGGATTTATCCATACCAGGAAATGGTAATGGTAATGCTCCCAATTGAGAGCAAACAATATCATCCAAATCAAATCGAACATTTTGTACCGGAGCAATAATATCTTGCATCAACATGATGGCAGTATTCACACTAGAGATTAAATAAAGTAAAATCTAAAATATACATCCAAATAACAACAGTGAATGGTAGTGTGATTCTTTTTATTAAACAAGTTCCGAAAAAGCATTAAGTATCGTCCAGTGTATCCAAGTCGGTAAGTCACTAATAGATGCATCTAGATGAAGATAAATATTTTTCTCATTGCCCCTAGATGACATTGTTCATGAACTGACATTTCCATCGAGTTAAATTCGGTACATGCAGATGTATATATCGAGCAATGCAGATGTATATATCGAGCAATGCAGCTAGATAACTCGATGCTTAACCTAATACATTTAGGGATTTTTGTTTGTTTCATTGATGAAAATCTTATCGAAAATACTGATAACTTAATTGACCATGCATTCGCGAAAAGTAAGAATCACCAGAAATCCTCGAAAACGATAACTCAATCAAACATAAACTAGTGTAACAAGCAGAAGTACAAGAAAACAATATAAACCAGATAAAACAGACACGATTGCAGTTAACTAATAACACGGTTGAACTTAGAAAGATCGTTAATAAAAATAAGAAATCTAAGCACATTAAGTTGAGGAACATCAGAGCGAATAGAAGAGGCAGAAGCACAGAGTCGAAAGCTGAACGCTGGGCACAGTCAGTTGTTTCAAAAAAGTAAATAATTTGATGACCAACACAACGTGGTATTCTACCTTAAAATTTTGATTTGGGCTGTGATTCATATGCTGACAAAACTTTTACCACTTTGCTTTTGAAAATTGACACTATTTCAATAAGGACAGAAGATAAATGCCACCTTTTTAAACATCGTTAATAGAAAACTCTGGGACGTTTCATCAGTTTACTTCTGACGTGATTAGTCAAATGAACAGATAAGAGTCTTCTATCTACCATGTTTAAAAAGCTGGCATTTATCTTACGATTCTTACTGAAAATTTTCACCTTAAATTCTACTTCTATTGCCACTTTTTGTTTCTACTTCTACTTTGTTGTTGCTCTAAAACGCAAAGTGGTTTCAACACAAGTTTTCAGCGAGCAGCATCTATCTGCGAAACTACTGCAAGATTGTACTCTGAACACATGAGACGTTTTTTTCGTGTCAAAACGCTTGTAAACAACGAAATAATAGGAAACCCGTTCAACCGATGCTTGAAATGCGTTTCGTATATCGGCTAAGCGGCTAAAAAGCGTGTTTCAAGCATTGATTGAACGGGTTTTCTGTTATTTCGTCGTTTACAAGCGTTCGGGCACCGTTTCATACGAGAAAAAATCTCATGGGAAAACTTGGACCTATCTCAATTTTGTTAATCTGAGGTAGAGTTGTTCTGCGCTGTTTCTTGTAGTACAAGTAAAAGCCATGCCTTTTCTTTTTCTTGAACATAAATGTAACAGATATCTAATCAGCAGTGATTTTAATAAGACTTCTTTTCAGAGTGAAACTTTCCACTTTGCTGTTAGCGTGAAATTGGGATTTTTCACTTTGATAAGAAATATAAAGTGGACAAAATGAGAACAGTTGAAATTTTTTGTCTAATAGCGGCTAAAAGAGATTTTTTTTATCGTCAAAGGGGATTCGTTTTACCACTTTTAGTTAAATGGACTAAAATTAACTCCTCTACGAGAGATCCCAGATCTTCTGATTTTTGAAACTTTTTCTGCCTCGTTTCTGCTCTTTTTTGATCTAAGGTGCAGGCATGGGCGAGTCCGAGTCCGCACTGGAAGATTTTTTGGTGGACTAGGACTTGAGTTTTTGTATTTCGAGTCCGATCTATTCAACTTTTAATACAAATGAGCAGAGAAAAATGAAAAGCGAAATAACAACACCTACTGTTTCACATGAAATTGAAAATTTTGTTCGTTGGCCGAACATGGAACGTAACCTTATTTTCGAAAAATCAGATATCTATCCAGGCCTCAGCAAATTAAAATATCAACCACCCTCATCAAAAAAGAATCTAGAAGACTCAAAATGGACTCGGACTCGGTACCCCCTCGGACTCACCCATGCCTGCTAAGGTGTACTGATTTTCTGATTTTCTACTTCTTTTTTTCAGATTCTCCTGATTTTGGACTTTTATTCTCTGATTTTCGTGTTTTGGATCTGGAATCCCTGTTTTCTACCCGGATCAATTACAAATTTAACAACAAACATCTTAGATGACTTATCTAAACAAAATGTAACTAAAAGAATAGCTGTAAGTTGAACACTTCTGAAAAGAAACGCTGCAAAACTTTTATACGTTTAGGTAGAGGTCACAAATCCTTTTTGACTAATATCTTGTTGATGTTAATTTTCAGACAGTAGCCATGTCCTGTTGTAATGAAAATTAGAGGATTAAACAGAAATTATACTGGTTCTCTCGCTCGCAAGTGTTCAACAAACAGAGATCGATGAGTTAGTTTTCTAAGGCAGAAAATATGAAAAAAATAAAGTGGGAAAATGTTCCAAAGCAAAGTGAAAAACAAAGTGGAATATAATTTTCTCAGCATGAAAAACAGAAGGGAAATTCATTATTCAAAGTGGAAATTTATTTCGGTCTCGCTGTCCCACGAATCATTAAAAACACTGCTAATTAGTAACAGGTAAAGTAAAATACAACAATGAAATAAAGCAATAAACGGTATATTTATTGTGATAGTTTCAAAAAGCAAAGTGGTTTTCTCCATTTTCAGACTAGAAAATGGTTTTTATAAAGTGGAAGACCACTTCGTTCTCACAGGAACCACCAGTCATTAGAAACACTGTTTTTAATGATTGATGGGACAAGCGAGAGCAAAGTGGATCTCCACTTTGAAAAATGAATACATACACCGAGGGAAAAAAATCCCACTTTGTATTTTTCTTCTTACACGAAGGAAATAACAAAACAGCACTTAGCAGTCAATATGAAATAGACGTACGAGGAAACTACAAAACTTTATTCTTATCATACCGCTTTGATTGTTTACAACTAGATCCCTGGTGTTAAACAGTTAACATGAAGAACAAGGAATAAGAATAAGGAAAAGATATTCAAGGTACAGTGAGAAGTCTCATTCTGGAAAAAATTCTCATTAAAAACGCTGATCAGAAACATTGTTTAGAACAATCTGGAAAAATTCACTTTGGAAAAAGCTCTCATCAAGAATCGTGAAACCGTCGAGGATGAGTATCAGTGAGACTTCAGTACACGTATCCATTCAAAATCGCACATACTCCTCAATACATTCTTTGCTGTGATGTTCAACCATTAAATACTCAAAAATTGAGAGACACGAGAGCAGCACTGTGTCCGAAACAGCGTAGTTAGAAGGTATTTGCCAATAACAGCTGGCAAAAATGGCCGCCGATGATAATATTTTCTTAGTCACTGACTGTATTCACTTTTAAAGAGATTGGCCTTCGGCATTACTAAGTGATCAATGGCTTTTTCGTCTCTCAGCCAATCAAAAACGTTCAACGTGACGCAGTTATGCAAAAGATGTGCATAAATGTATTGTCTTACGTATGCGTAGTTATTCAGTGAGTATGACTAGTTATCAACTAATTTAGGCCCAGTCTTTTAAAATGAATGCAGTCAATAACTAAGAGCTGTTTCATACACATTGCTTCACTTTTAATTCATAATTTCATATAATTAAATCATGGTGCGCCACAGTAGACATATGCGAAAGGAGTATGTACAAATTTTGATTAGGTGAGACTAAGCCATCGACAGCAAGGAATTAATAGGCACACCACGCGCTTTTAGAAAAAAAAATATTTGTTCGCGAAGACCCAACGATTCTATAATTTTATAAGCTCTTTTGAAGCAGCTGTTGATGTTTTCAAGTCGCTTTATTTTTAAAGTTTAATCGTAAAGGCTTCTCAATTCTTTTTGTTTCTTTTTTATGCAAAATTATTGTCACGTAAGAATGCAAAAGGGATTGATAAATAATTCAGCAGATCTTAGTGGCACATGTACAGGAATACTGAGCAACAAAAGTTTCTAGAAGAACGAAAAGTTTGATATTATGTCGAAATCAAACTGTTTTTATATATATATGTATTACTTCGGTGAATGTGTCCGTTCTAAGAGCAGCTTTTCGACATTTTCATTTTAAAGCATCTGAATAAATGCTGTACTTCGAGCAGCAGAAAAAAAACATTACTTATAATTTTTGATGATGTTCTCTTTGTTTAGATTTATTCTTCTAATTGATAATATTCTACAAGAATATAGGATATTACTGTTCGAATAATTTATTGAAATTAGATAAAAGGTATATATATTCTTGTTGTCTAATGTTTTTCTCAAGATACGGAAATATAAACTGTATAGATTTTCTGTTCTAAATATATATACTGAAGTAGAATTAGCTTTCTCTGAATGGAAATTCTGACTTTTAAACATTTATACAGTTGTAAACGAAGTTCCTATGTTCTGCGTCTTCATCTAGCTAAAGTTAAGCTTTGTGTAGGTGTAGTGTGAATATTTGAAAACGAAGAAGTAGAGAAGATATTTAAAAAGCTTAGTACTACTTCTGAATATCGTTAATGCTCCAGCATGTTATATTTTATAGTAAACAGTTAGTGTGTTGAATATATTAATTGATTTACTACGCACTTTTTTCTTGGAAGAGAATCCTTTTCATTGTGACTAGTATTACCTAACATATCTGTATTGTTCGAGCGCATATGAAATGTTCAACATGTTAATATTCAACAAAACTGTCAAAATTTTCAATAGTCTTTCTACTTAGAAAAGAATAATTCTTTTTTTTTACGATCGAAATAAAGAGAAGAAAATTTTTTTCGTATACTAATTATGTGACACAATATCACCATCTATCACAACGACATTTAAAGGGTTGATATTGTACATTTTCTTTTCTTTTTTTTTTCTTATTTTATATTGAAGTACAATCTTAACACGTTGAATCGAACAGAAAGAATAAAGACAAATTTCAGTGAACTTTGAGTAAACAGCACGTTCGCTTTTGAATGACTTGCCAATTTAAATATATAGATGGTCTTTGATGAGCATCAGTACTGATTTTAAGTTTTTGTCATAATACAAGAACGTGTAATTAATATTGCCATATTTCGTCGTAAGTACATATATAATTTTGATATTATTTTACCTAATTATTTTATGATAAATCAACAAATTTTGTTTTCTAAATAAAACAAGTTCTATTTCATAATGCATTCAGTAAAGGAATCTAGTAACTTGCATGCTAACAAATCTGTTCAGAAACCTATAAACATAATTGTTATTCAGTTCACCAAATGAACAAATATGACAGACATATTGAAAGATTATAAAAAAATTTAGCGTAATAACAAATAAAGCTTAGATAGCTTCTAGCTTGATAGAGATGATGATTGAGGCGCAAATGATGATGTAAGATTCTTTTTTTTTTATGACAGAAGGTAATTAGTAGAAGAAACGTGAGAAGATATTTATCTAATTGTTATTTTTTTCTCTATTAGCTATAAATATGTCTGACAATCGTAAAAAGTCGAAACGTCGAAAATCGGAAGATGATCAATTAACAAAAATCGAAAAAGCTATTGCAAAACATTTACGTTTTAAATGTCAGACGAAAAAAGGCATGTTAATGGGGATGCAAGTGACATATTTTACTGGTAATAAAGCTGTCGAATGTTTAACTGAATCAAAATGGTCATCAATGTCTACAAAAGCATTAAATTCGAGTGGTGATAACAATAATACAATATGTTTTACATCGAAACACGATTGTGTACTAATGTTACGAAAATTTTTAGATAATGATATGTTTCGCCGGGCTGTTAAAATTTATAAAGAACCACCTGTACAAAAGAATAATAAAGGCGAGTCGCAGCAACAGGAAGAAGGTGGTGATGGTTCTGTATCTAATACACCAACGACTACACGTCAACGTAAAAATAAAAAAGATACACAAAAATCAGTGGCTGAACCTACGACAACTGTAACATCATCGACGACAAAAGAAAAAGATGATAAAGATAAAGATTCAAAAAATAAAAATAAGAAGAAATTTAAATTTGAACTACATGATGATCAAGTTTTTGTTGATTCACCGAATGAGTGTTATGTATGGATTTATGATCCAACAACAATAAAACAATATATAATGGGTTTTTTGCTTGTGGTGGGATGTATTGGTGTGTGCTTATTTCCACTATGGCCAACAGAAGTTCGTACTGGTAAGTGATGATGGTAAATGATACGATAATTCAATAAATAATGTAAACTTTGTATTTCATTAGGTGTGTATTATTTATCAATGGTATTAGCAGGTCTTCTAGGTTTTCTATTATCATTGGCTGTTATTAAGTACATAATATTTGCAATTGTTTGGGTTTGTACGTTTGGTAAAATTAAATTTTGGTTACTACCAAATTTAACAGAGGATGTTGGCGTACTGGAATCATTTGTACCGTTGTATAATTTGGAAGTTGGCTCAACAATAAAAAAAACAAAAGATGATAAAAAGAAAAAAGAGAGTGAAAATGATGATAAGCAACAACAAGAACAAACGGCAAGTCAAGAAGAAATAGTACCATCACTAACAACAACAAATCCTGATGAAAAGGAAACCAGTGCAGACGAAGATGAACAAGATGAGAATGATATGGAAAAGAATCGAAAGTCAAGTCTCGAAGATGAAAATAAGGAAAATACAAGTCGTTCATCGTCATTGACATCTGAAGATGAAAAATCTCAAAATAAATTGATAACACCACATCAACAACAAAAATCATCTGATGAAGACTTCGAAGTTTTATCGAGAGATGATATAATTAATGAAACGAAATAAAATCTGACAGTTTTATGTTTTTTGTTTTTTTTTTCTATTTAAATTTTGCAATAACAACTTTTACTTTTTTTGATGTCTTATTTAATTTAAACATTTTGCAAGTTGTGCGAGCTGAATAAAATTTTTTATGAACAGTGTTTACACGCACATTCTTCCAAAGAAAATAATGTTTCTAGTCGGGTTGAATACGATTGATTATTTTTCCATACGATGACTTATTTTCCTATTCTGATTATTATCGTTTGTTTACTACAGTCTTATTATTATTATATTTAGCTTATGAGAGAATGGAATTATTCTTACTCGACTGTTTTCTGTTATTGTCATTTTGATCTGAATTTGCTTATGAGAGATAACATCTAACAATCGATTTTTTTTCTTCATAGTTATATATTGCTGTAAATCGAGCACAGATCGAAATTTTTATTTCGTAGGCGGTTATGGAAAAATGCATAATCCAACGAGTCTTTTTTGTTTTGTACGTTTTTTTTCCTGCCTGTCAGCATTTCTTCTGGTTGGTTATAATCACTAATGTACAAATTTTTACATCTCTCTCTCTCTCTTCCTTTCTCTCTCTCTCTCTCTCTCTCTCGCACACACTTTTATTTTATCGACCTGGTATTTTTTTCTTCTTTCTTTTGTTGTTATTCTACAAGATCATTTAGTTTCTCTTTTGCGAATAATAAAACAAAGGTGAAAGTAGATGGTGTATGTAAGCACTTGTCTATAAATCGTATTATAGACTTGTTAAAAGAGCCTAGGTAATATGAAAGAAGTTCTGTCAGTAATTTCTGATATGTTTATAGCTACTGAATTGAGTAACGACATAAAGAAGACTTTGATGTGTGTGTAACAGAAGTTTCTTGATCTAACGATTGTCATACGTCTTCGAGACAAAAATTCATCAATTTAAAGAAAACTCGAGAATTTTTGGCAATATCCTGTAGAGAAAATTTCATGGCGTTGGAGTCATGCAGCTGTAATATCAAACATCTGATCACGTTTGAATTTTCCCGAATTTCTTTTCACGTATGTTCAAAAACCATTTTTCGACTTTCACTCGTCATCACGTGCGAAAAATATGATGAGAAAAAGTTTCCTGACCATTACACGCGTGCTCACAAGTGTCAATTTCTTTCGTAAGTATTCGCACATTAAGTGCGTACACGCTGTGAATACTGCTAAAATTTCCGTATGAGATTCGTGAAAATAGATCCATTTTATTAAACAAAGCCAGGCACTAAATGACTGTATTACCCTACAAAATAAATCTCGACCGGCTTGCCGAACTATGCCCATCTGGAAAATAAAATGGAATATCCTTGCTGGATTTCGTTTACTGACAATGATAATGATAAAAAACGATCCGATAGGTCTCCTTGAGATATCAAGAAGAAATGCCACGTTTGATCTTCAAGTGTACAACTGTTCAATTATATATTATGTAAAATATGTCGCAGGAATAAATGAAATGTAGGAGAATTTAAAATATCCCTAGAAATAAATAAAATTTTAATATGAACTAGTTCAAATTAAAATTTGATTTATTTCTATAGGAAATATTTTAAATATTCCTAGCAAACACGTTCTGTCACCTGTATTCCTACAGGAATAAATAAAATTTATAAATAAATAAAAAAGTCATAGTGAATGCATTTATAAGGCAAGAAATAAAAGCGTTTTAGTAAACAGTTGATGATTTAACAGAGAACCTCTTTTTCCATTAATAATGGAGTTGTTTTACGAAAAACTGGATGATCAAGTATCAAAACTTGATCAAAAATTTTGTTCAAAATCTGTTATTAAACGTATAATGTTCGACGAAGTAATATTACCATTACAAGTAAGTGTGAAATACCCAAAATATTTTCATGTAAAGTGGTATCAATACAACTATCATCTGATGGAAATGTTACATATAAACTTTGTACAATACAAGGTGTATTCTATTACGGCTTCTGATTTATTAGATTTGAATAAATGTGGTTTGGAAGATGTATGTCCAATTGATTCAACTCTGTTACAGTAAACAATAACGTTCATCCAAGCATGTAAGGAAGATGTTGGTACAAGTTTGATTGTTGTTGAAGCATGACATTGCAATGGTAAATGTGCTACTATCCTGTCCATGTCGAGCAAAAAACGTCAAATGTGGAATAGAATGCTATTCGAAGAACGAAGTTTGTTCAAAATGTTTAAACATTTTCTTTCTTTATCGTTCTCAAAAGCAGTGTCAATTTTGAGAAAATAGATTATATGTAATTTTCAAATAAAAATAAGTGCACGTTTCTTCTATTAAAATGCATTCACTATGACTTTTTTTATTTATTTATAAACTTTATTTACTCTTCGAAATATTTTAAACTCTTCTACATTTCATTTGTTTCTGCGACATATGTATAAAGTTAGATCAATGACTTTCGAAACAGGATCCAAAGGTTAAGTAGGAGGAACAAGTTGAACGAAACGGGGTACTAAGTTTGAAACCTTTGGATCCGATTTTAAATCTCTACATCCTCTCCTTCGAACACAGAGTGAAATGAACAATATTCTGGTAGATTTTCTGAAAATTCTACTATTTTATTTTCTAGTTCAATCCTTCTGAAGAATTTACAACCCTAGAGAACGTACTTCATGCAAGTACTTGTCAATGATCGAAATACTTCCTTATTGCTAAGAAGTACTTTCTGAAACTACTTGGCAAGTAAGGACAAGTACTTACAAGTAAATATACTTTTGGAAAAAAGGCAAGTACCGGCTTCATTACGTAGACGAAGTACTTAGTGCAAGTACGTTCTCTAGGGAAGATGCAAAAAGTCTAAATTAGACGACAAAACACTTTTCAATCATTTTTACTAGGTGGTATTAGTGTAAGTGTCTCAAATCCCTCAATAATTGTATTTTGAGAATCCACAGGACTTTAGTGAGAATTATTAGAGTGCAAATTAGTTCTATACGTCTCTACAACAACTCTCCTACTAACTTCACCTACATTTCGGTGTTTGTCTTTCAGTATTTCTATTAGAAAAACTACCGTGCCACATTTCACGAAAAAGAATAGTTAAGATAATTCAAAAATGCTATCTTGTGTTATCAATAAGTTTCTGAGAATGGACATAATTTATTAGATGATCGATGAAGAAGATGAACGAACGCAAAAAATTGGCTCATAGCTTAAAACTGCATATTGCTTGAGTAATTCTACGCAAGTGAAATTAGTCAAAGGTGGAAGATAAGTAGCATGTAGTGTTTCTCGTAACAACATCAACGCAATTAATTTTTTGTTGAAAAAAGTCCAATTGTGTCGCGCATTGTCACAAAGATGTCTTCATTTTTATTCGTAGCAAGACTTTCAGGATAATCAATTCTTTCTGTGATTAACTGTACACATTTTCCATCATTATCGAATACAACCAAACGATCATTATGGCTATCAGCAACTAATAAGTGTTTGTTATTATTAATCGGCATAATTCCTCGAGGACTAGATAATGGTGTTTGAAAATACTCAGTTGTTTCGTTTCCAAATCGACTGACAAACTGTCCATCAATTGTAAACTGGTGTACGCAACTGCCCTGAGGATCTGTGATAAAACAATAATCATTGCTTACTGTACAATAAGCCAAAGAGCTAAATAGATTTTTGTTACCAAAAAACCGAACAATACTTAAAGTTTTGGGATCATAAACTTTAATTTGACGTGTGGCTTGATCACATACATAAATAAGATCGTTACTATCAACACATATTCCCTGGTAATTAGTAAAACCAGCATCAATATCGTCTTGGCCAAATGTTCTTATCAAACGTAAATCGTTGTTAAGTAAAACAATCTGAATTTCATCTGTCATTAGCAACTGCCCATTGCTCATAACACAAAGACCATTTTTCATACCGTAATGACTAATAATTTTAGCCAGTTTATTATCTTCGGTAAAACCAACAACACGTTCATTTTTAGAATCGGCTATGAATAATAGATTATCGCTTGATCGATAAGCAATACCACGTGGACCACTAATAAACGGTTTTCCAAATTCTAGCGAGCCAATATTACTCTTTAATTTAAAGTCAATTTTTTTATTATCAGCCATCACTTTTGTTACTAAAATAAAAAAATAAAATAAAAAGATAGAATAAATAGTGTATAAAATCCAGATCTTTATATCTAAACTTTTTGTCTCAATTTTCAAAAAGAAAACAAAGAACAATATTTAGGATCGAACTTTCTATTTTTGGAATTGATATGGCAAATGTAGTCTTGTGAACTGTTGCACTATGCTTTATTGACACAGATCTAATAGACTCGGCAGTTATTACGCTTTAAACGAAGAAAATTGTATGCGCAGTTGTTTCCAATGCCATAGAATACATAGTAAGAGCAAAGACATGGTTCTTTTCTTGTTAGATAATTAATAAATACAAATTTGTGGATAATTGTTATTGTTTTTTTGTTATTACATATAGTCTAGTTTCTAGTTTATTAAAAAAACTTTATGGCAATGATAAGAAAACTCATTATTTGTATAAATATGCTATGCATGTCAACATTTTACTATGTACGTAAATCTCTGAGATGTATAATATAGAACATTTTTTCATCCACTCGTTATTCTACACCTTCAATGTCTATTGACACATTTTTTTCAGACAATGATTCCTATGCATTTCAGCCTTTTGATATCACAGTTGAAGGATTACTCAATTAACAATGTGTGTATTACATCTGAGGTCGTCTATTTATAATCCATCTAATATTTGTTGAATGGGCATTTTTGGACTATTGTGACAATTTTTTCGACCGTTTTTATGCACTTAAACTGGGAATATTTTAATACCTAAAAGTGGCAGTTTTATCACGATAAAAAAAAATGGACATTTTATCATTTTCATTTTAAGACCGTTATTGCACCATTATGGACCGTTAACAACCTATTATTCGGACATTTTTAAAGTCAATTTTTTTCTAGCTAGTAACTTCACAAAAGCTGAATTCACAAATTTCAATATTTTTGGTTCTCTAGAACCATGGTACTGTCACTGGTATCAGTCCCAGAACTATGAATGTTATTAAAAAACGTGATAGTTCTTACTATCAAGATTCTAGCAGATTCACACCCAATCTTCAAAAAATCTTAGAGAATGTAATGGATATCTTAGTAAGATTCAAGTAAGTTTCTCACTGAAGCTGAATCTTTTAGTATCCTGTATCCAACAGTGTGTGTACATTAAAGAACTCGCATTGATACAGTTTGATACAGTTGATTGATAAAGTCATCTTTCTTTTGATTTAAAAACTTTAATTCTGGAAATTTCTCTAACACAAGAAATCAAGATTATTGTCAAAGCTGTTACCGACTATATCATCCAGTCAGATCTGTTTTGATGTGAAAGACTGATAAAACATTTCTTCTTTCTTATTGATAACTGCTGCAATCTAGAGCACAACATATACTTCCCGCTTTACTTCTTACTAATATCAGCTTTCAAAATATGATCACAGACTCAAAAACATTTGTCTATTGTTGTACTTTCTTTTTTATTGTTATATTCACAAGTAGAGTCTATATGTGTATTTGTCTTAGTTCTTCGTTAGACTGTTCAGTTGACTCTGCATCACAGACCTCGGTCTGCTCACTTAGTCAAGTTTGTTGTATCTTTTCTTAATAAACAGGATGGTTAAGATAAAAAAAAACACAGTTTAATAATGTTACTGCAATCGTATCAAATGATATACAACCAGTTAGAATTTTGCTATTGCTATTCAAAAACGTTAGAATTAAATCTCAGTGAAAGTTTTTCTGTGATTAAATTTAAAAATTATCAAAAATGAATCATCTTCTAGAACTCATTTTTAGTGTATTACTTACATTCATGAATACTATTCGTGGAGAATTTTATAACAAAGGGTTATTAATGGCACATGATATTGAAAAAAGCGATTCGAAAGACTCGATGGACCTTTTGTATATCTGAAAATACCTGAGTGTGGCTTATCAATCACAAAAATGTCAAGTTCCAACTCCAGAAATTTTTCTACAAAACCCCACTTTTTTTTACACAAGAGACTCCAAAAAACATGTACCTTTGATAGTGTAAGTTATCTATTTTACAAAGTCTAACCATGGACTTTGGAGCACGGTAGTACACTAAAAAAAGTATTCTCGAAAACCTGGACAGAGTTTTTCGAAAATGTTATTATATGATACCCTTTTGGATTTTCGGAGATACCTTTTGAAAGGGTTTTCAAGAGTACGAAAACGCTTTTCCTATTTGACTACTCTTTTTAATTCTGTACAATTTTTTTCTTGACTATCCTTCAAAGGGATTTTTATTTAAACTCTCTAATATCTAAAAGAGCATCATATCATGTAGTAACATTTTTGAAAACTTTTCAAGATCGGTTTCCGAAAAAAAATTCTAGGTAACCAGGTATTTTCCGATGTATGGACTCTCGATTTTTCTGATAAAAAAGGGAAAAGGGTTCATTCGGAAATATGACGATTACTTTACCTAGGAATGGTATAGCCAGAGTATTTAAGAAAATATCCTAAGCCCTATCGGATACTAACAAATAAGATGAAGATATTCTATATGATATACTTTACGAAACATACTCTTATGAGATTAGGAGAGCCTGAACTTAATGTATAAACATAAAATTAAAAAAATAGAACTATTATTACAATAACAATAGATGAAAAAAATATATAAATTATATTCTTTTTCAATAGAAAACAATAAACGTGAAACTTAAAATTTTATGCGGAGAATTATTACTACTACAATGGTACTTATTAGCTTAGCTGCCTTTTCTTTCATAGGAGCTAAACAGAATTTCAGTCGCTAACAATACACGTGGTGCTATAGCTTTTCCCGTACTGCAGGCGCACTCAAACATATTTTCAGAGCATTTTTAGCAAATAGTATTATCTTGTCGAAGAGAAAGCCAAGTAAAATAAAAAATGCAATATAGCGAGAAATTCCAATTAATACGTTCGAGCCGTGTAAAAGAGGGGAGTGTTGCTGGTGGTGTCTTCTCAGTTCGCCTCAAATTGACTTCTCAATTCGTCCCACGAAGCTTTTTTTCGCAGTTCATCCTAATTAATTCGTATCAGAAATTTTTTCTCAGTTCGTCCCAGATATCTATGCTCGCACCTCAAAATAAATAAAGTGTTGTACCATCAAATAGTTTAGTCGATGGCGATGGTATCCATGATACCATGTGCATATTCTTTGACTACACGGAAAAATTCCATTGTCTACACGAAAATATTGAGACATTTAATCGAATATGGTAAAAAGTTGAATGTTGAAATGAATCCACAGCGCCTGACCTGCGATTTCGAACAAACCACAATAAGTTCTTTTGTCGATATTTTTCCACATATCAAAATCAATGGATGTTTCTTCCATTATGCTCAGTCGCTGTGGAAAAAAACCCAGAAAGCCGGTATGATGCGTCATTTTCAAACAAATGACAATAATAATGTAATACCGAAGATGTAACTTAGTTCATTATTTAGTTGTATAATCCTCGAGAATCCAATACATCGAAAGGCATCTTTATGTTCTTGTTTTCGCTTTTCAGCTTTCGTTGTTTGTCCAATATAACTGTTTATACACCCACAACAGTTATATATAGCACCGTATGCAAGAGGTACGGGCAATTATATTAAAGCTAATTAAGTGTAAACTAATATGGGACGAACTGAGAGAGAAGTGTTGATGGGACGAATTAATTGGGACAAACTGAGAAAAAAAGCTTCATGAGACGAATTGAGAAGTCAATTTGGGACGAACTGAGAATAAACTATGCTGAAAAAGGTAAACGGAATTCTGGAATATTCCTCTTACTATCATTCAGCATTCAAATCAAAAGAGAAAAGCATGTATTTTCGAAACAAGTTGACCACCATCCAAAACGGTAGTTTCCAAAATCCTAAAAGATTTTGAACTTTCGAAAGCCGAAACTTTTAAGAAGAAATAATTTGAATCTCTTAAAAGGTATTTTCTAAAACTGAAAAAAGTATTTCCTGATACGCTTTCGACTTAAGAAAACATTTCGCACAAAAAAAAGAGTTTCAGAAAATATCCTGTTCGGTATTCGAGCATATAGTTTTGAGTATGCGAAAGTTTTCTTTTTCACCCAAGCAGATTTTGAAATTTCGAAAATCCTAACAATATTCTCTATATTTTCGATTTTCGAGTTCTGTTCGAATACCGGAAAAGGTTTCTGAAAGGGTTTTCAAAACATTTTAAGGTTTTTTAAAATACGCTTCTTTTTTAGAGTGTAGACAGACGTTAGGAAGACGATAAACAGTCTGTAAAAATATTAACTTGCTATTTTACAACCACAATCTTAGTTCAAACTACTGTGCCTACTTCAATTGTTTTGATTGATCTGACGTTCTGTCTGTCTATTATAACAGACAGACAGAACGTTCCTAGTTTTCCATTCCTAGTTAAATTATACTTACTGTAGAAGAAACTTTTCAAGAAAATCAATCAGTATGAATTAATATGCGTCAACGGATGTTTTTATTACACATTTGGTATTCCTTTATGAGAAATATGTATGAAAGAAGATAGAAGAAAAAAACCTTAGTTTAAGAGCTGATATTACATATGGAAAAATTATTAGAAAAAGAAATACTTATTTTATATAGAATGTTGTTGTTATCCTTATTTTTCTCGTCCCCAGCCCAGGACAAACATCGATACAACCACCTCTCATACAATTAATTTTCTAATTATAGCTTGAGAATCCATCTTGAGTTATCAAAAATAAAGTCGCAGTGTTGAAGAAGAGTGATGTGAACAACAGAAAAACTAAATAATACACTACTATCTGTAGTTACGATATCAATCCGTAATATACTAACGAATAATCGGAGGTGAAAAACATATTCTTGGAACAAACTTGTGACATATTTCTTGTTCTTTCAACACTTTTCTTAATAGGACAACTTCGATCCTAATCCTAGTAGAATCCGCGCTTCATTGCGCATCGCGAAACCATAGAAATCTTGTCACAATCTTGCCACGCAATACCCAATTTGAATCGCGATCACGACATAATCTGAACCGCGAATGCGACGTGGGAGAATTTTCGCTGCGCGATCGCCAATTTTTTGCGGAACGCGCAAATTTCGCGGCCGCGGCATGATGAATGGAGCGCGAATGTAACTAGGGAAATCATCATGGACTAAACGGCCAGTAGTAGACAGCGAACCTGAAGAAGATTAAGATTTTTTGCCTGTGGGTGATATTGGAAATCCGACACCTCGATGCATTTTTGCATGATTAAAATATATTTTTTGAGAGATTGTTGCAATAACCCATTCGAATTTTCCTAATGATGTATATAGCTATGTACCGTATTCTTTTCATTGATAGATAGCCTAAATTATCCGCTTCAAAATAGAGATGGTACGTTGCTGTAGATCAAACGCAGCGTGGAATTTCTGAACCTATACATTGAAATGTCTAATGGATTAGAAAACCGTTGTAAATTGTACTGGCTTTCCACATGGTGTTTGTGACACATTCATCAAGAAAATCATCCTCAAATTGTTCTCAAAATATTTACGGCAACTTTAGTGATTTTTTTAACTGCTATCCGTTTCAAAATAGAAGGCATTGTGATGTTTTTTGAATAATTTCTGAATGATAAGAGGTACCGACCTGCGGTTTTCAGATTACGGAAGAGGATACCTGGGGGTATAATTCTACGCCAAATTGAACCAAATTCGACAGGTCTACTATGGTGTACCTTTCGAAATAAGCCCGGGCTTGCCCTTCCAAAAATCTACATAGCAAAGTACTGCTCTAAACATATGTAGATGTACAACAGATGCCGTTCTTCAACCTGGTGTACGTCTTAAGTCTTCATCTACGGTAATTCGGGTGCTGCAGGAAATATCTGAGGACCTGCCTATCGGCTAAATCTGAAGTTCGGAAACCCTAAAAACACATGAAACATAGGTTTTCGAATATGAGAAATCTCGTGATGATGGTTTTTTTGTTCTACACACCAAAGGCGGTATATTATGCTCAAGAATTAGGAAAAGACAAGTAATTTCAAAAACTAGGCATTGAGTAGTATTATTCTTTTATGACACGTCATGACTTCATTATGACACGTTATGATAGCTACGCCTATCCTTCTTATATCAAAACATGCGAAGACTACGATGACAACAATCAACAACAGTTTAAATTATTAGAAGATGTACTCGTTACCTATAATTTGATGGACAGATCCTCATAGATTTTCAATTACGATGAGTCCGAATTTGCTGATAGGATGGACACAAAAAAAAAGTTAAAACCAATTCTCTTCATGTTAGATGGATATGGATCTCACCATAGTGCGCGCAGTCGAACAGGCAATTGAAAATGATATTGTTGTGTTGTTTTTACTACCAAATTCTGCACTTATACCTCAACCACTCAACGTGACTTTTTTAAACCAGTCAAACAAAAATATAGTGAAACTCTTGGTGAATATTATCAAACACTCGATCATAAAGATATATCGAAAAAAGTGTTTCCAACATTAATGAATAAACTATTTCAATCAACAGCTGTTAGAAAAGTTAATATCCTCAAAAGTTTTATGAATTCTGGCATATATCCTCTAGATAAAACGTCCATCAATTCCTAGAAGATTTTGAAATGTAATCAACAGGTTGAAGCCGACATTACTGCTGCTACCAGCCATCAACTATTAAATACAATTGAGGGAAGAAGCGGAAGACAAAGTTCCTTCTACACCATCGTCTCCTACGCAGTTGCTTAATGTTATTCCGCAAATAAATAGTAGTGTCTGGGATCATGATTGTAAGTCTGGTAACCGTTTCATTAGAAATTCCCTTTTATCCAACTATTTTCATTTATAGTGGATGCACCGTTAGATTTATCACGTCCAACAGCATCAACCACTGAAGTTATAGCTTTGTCATCACCATTAAGTTCAACAACAGCTAGTCATTTCTGAACAATCACCATCTAAAAGAATTGCTTTAGATGGAGAAACCGATTAATTTCTAACAACGGAACAAGCTTTGGATCAAATGAAACAGATAGAAGAGCGTGCAGAACAGAACAGAATCATCTCAACTTATCCTAATAAATCTTTGTTACTTTTGGTAAAGTTTCAAAGTAACAAGATTTTTTTAGAAAACAGATGCTTATCGTTTCTGAACTGTTTCAAGATCTTAAATAAAATTTTTAAATCCAGTAAATGTCGTACAGTTCTTCTCAGGTTGCTTGGTTCTCCATTACCAAAATAATAAAGGTCTATGTGACTGCATAACAGAATAGAGTTATCTCTTTTGATGAAGAATAGCTGATTACAAACAGTGTGGTAGGTGGTGTTGGATAAAATAGTTAAGATAATAAGTCTTTTTTGTCGTTATAAAAATTGTGGTTATTCAATATATTCCCTTTATAAAACGCGTATGTGCAAGTGACTCGATGTCTTAAAGCAAAAGAGAATCAATACATTTCAGATAACGTCGAGTGCCATCTAAACATTCTGGTGAAACTTCATTATCACCAAATGAATCCAATAATTCACTCACTAATATATCAGCTTTACAAAACGCTCGTCAATTATGCATATTTTCATTCACAATTGCTTACTCCATTATTTAGTTACTACAAACACCAGTTAGTTACAGCTTCATCAATGAGACAAAATAATAATAAACAAAATGATCAGGTTAAACAACCCGTAGTTATATCAGAATCACAAGGACAGCCGATTACATCTACGCCGTCGAAAAGAGGTCTTGTTGTAGTGTCGTTTAATAGCTAACAAACAATAAATGCTATCATCTTTCATAATATTTTGTTTTGACAAATGAAAATCCGTTAAAAGCCACGGACGATTTTATTATTAAGTAAGTAGCAGTTTTTTTGTAAGTGCCTCGGCCTTTCCTCTAAATCCTCTCGTTCCTTGTTTTACATCTTTTTCTGACTAGAAATTTGAAATTACGTCTTCGTCTTACAACATTCTGTCTCTTCCTCTCATCTGGATGCTGCTAAATGACTAACAAAAGATCACACCTAGATGAGGACCTGAACTCGTCAGAAAATAATAGAGAATTCACATGTACACCATATACATCAATACGCATTATAATCATCCCTTGCATACCAAAATGAATTCTCAGCGAATGCGAATTCATCTTTTAGAAAATTAAATTCTCGGCGAATGTGTATTTTCCAAGCTATGTCACAACTCCGTAATCCAGTTGTAAATTCAAGCAAAAATGATAAGACCAACGTTTTTCGTTCCATCATGAAGCAGTTTAAAAACAATAAGCGTTTTTGTAAGACAAAGTCAGCCTTTTAATTCCTTCTTTCCTCAAATTTCAAAAGATAGGAACTCTCTATCTGTGACCGTTGCACATACTGAAAATGCCATATTGTTTAAAAAACTGCTTAAGGAACATGTCAGATTTTATTAGTGTCTGTTGTTGAACATGTATGTATCTTTTTCCTTTCTTTTGTCATTTCCACAATCCGTTTTTTGTTGACTTTTTTTTGTATGAGTGAGCAGTACCTATATTAAGTAATCTTTTACTTGCAACTGTTCTGTTTACTTCAGTTTACCATCCTTCTCAAAATATATTAAAATTCTGAAATCTTGTAATAAGATCTTACGGCATGGCCTTACAAAGTCTTGTGACGATCGTGTAAGATTCTACAGAATCTCGTACCTTATTGTCATTGTAAGATCTGATGGATTCTTATAAGATATTTTATGACATCTTGTCACTTCTTGTATCATCATACGAGATCTTATTACAAGATCTTATGAAATTTTGTGATATCTTGTAATATGATGTTATAACATCATACTTCAAGACTCTTCGCCCATGGAACATTAAGCCATAAGCGATTGTATAGAAAAAAGCGATTCGAACCTGATTGAGTTAGTGAAAACAATAGGAAACACATAATTTATCTGAATATTAAGTATCACTGAAAAATCCTGAACTCATATCACAGACTGTTTTATTTTTAATTAACTCTGATCACAAAACAACTTTTTCATATTATTGCTCGTTTTCTGAACATCGGATAATTTTCGGTGTCTTGAAAAAGCATATCTAATTGTTGAGAGACCATTGGCTTTACTTTTTTCACATTATTATTTAACATTTTCTTTTTTTGCTCTTCACCCACTAGTTCACTTTGATCGAAAATATTCAGTTTTCTTTATCAACACAAACCGAGTTGATCCATTGTCTTTCATAATGGCGACATTTTATCGTTTTATCATGTTGTTTGACGAGATTTATTCAAAGATTTTTGCTTGAAGACGCCTGGTCATTATCTGCTCATTCGTCTCATTAGCATAAGTTTATTATTTATAGATCAGTACGAATTGGTACGTGAATTATATTGACCTTATGATCACTGCACGGTTTTTTAGAGACTTATGAGGTATTGAATGCTTGATTGAGTAAAATTTTTGAATATCTACTGAATTAAAAAATTAATTTTTTGTATCTTAATGAGACTTGTTCATTTGGTTTAAAAAATTTTCTTAATATATGTACCTCGATCTGCTCTACAATCTGACGCTATCGGAATCGTTTTACTAAAAAGCTTTGAATATAAGAAAATCCGATTTTTACAGGACGGCACTTGAGACATAGCAGTAACAACGGACATCAGACCGGTGATCAGTGTTAAAAATGAAACATTGTGTTTCATGGAGAAAGTAATTTATCATCTGCTAAGAAATTCTCTTTAGTTACCCATACAACAAATTTCAAAATATATAGAAAGCTTAAGTGAGATTATGAGTTACTATTCAAGTAACAATAAAAAGGGTAAATAAAACAAATTTCGAGTATTCAGAGTGAGATCATATAAAAGAGCAAAATGCTGGCGAATATAAAAAGGAATGTTCACAAAATTGAAAAACACATCAAAAAAATATCGGTAACAAAGAAAAAAAATACACAATTTATCTTTACTTATTGTTCATTCATTTGAAGACTTGATTATTTAAAAATGAAGAAAAAACACTATTTAAAAACCTTGTTCACAGTTAATATGTTCCCTGCCGGCCTGCTTGAGGCGGATTTCCATCGGTATTGCCACCAGAACGAGATAGACGAAACCGATTAATGCCATCAAATAAATAGGTTGCAAATGCTGCAAAACCAAAAAATGTAGCTGCACCATACACACCACTATACTTTGCTATAGTTGCCAGAACGATACTTGCAATGAAATAAAGCAACGTGATGCATAGGCACCACACCATTTCCTATAATTATTTTAAGAATTAAAGGACATATTGAGGGTCAAAATAGATAAGTCTAAGATACTTTCTGTAATCTTTTTTCTGCATATTCCAATACGAGAAACTCTAAGGCAAACTAATTAATTATGCCCTAGATCTAGTTGGTATATATATACATAAATATAAAAGAGTAATACTCACGGCAAAATTCCATATACCTGGCCAGCGGACATTATTTACGTTTAATATACATGCGATCAATAGAATGAACGAGATTATCAATGCCACAGCAGCCACAAATATAAAAAATCCTCGATGACCGACAACTTCGTCGTAGACTGGTGCCTACAATAAGCAGACAAACAAAACACAGTAAATATAATAATATGTAGAAAAGCTTATCAGCGCAGACCTTGGACTTAAAGTGTAACTCTTTCACTCAAACGTGATGGACTAAGGTGAGGCTGGATGAAACCTATCCCCCGAGTGTGTACGTTTACATTACGTTTACAAAATTTTCAGATTTTCAGCATTTTCTCTCTTTACAAACTTTTACTCCTTATTTCTTTCAGAGGAAGTCTGGGGAGGAGTTATATAAAACATCTATACTTACTGCACCTGCGAGAATTAACGCAAGTATATCACAAAACTAAAAAGAAAAAAAATGTAAATTTATAAATTTCATATTGTTTATGAGAACACACGTACAATTTCAAAGAATTTTAAAACACCGGCCAGCGTTGTGACGTATACAGGACGACATGAAATTCCCTGTGGCGCTGGAGGCGACTCATGATAATTAGCGCTTGACATGATGCTGATATACTTCGAAAATTAATCTAGAAATAACCCCTTTACGGGAAAAAATAGTGATAGACTAATGACTAGAACTCTATCATGAAATGCAACAGTCTCTTTCACAGCTGTGACTAAACAAAAAGTTGCCAACGAAAAGCAGAAAGAGTAAAAGGGAAGAACGATTCTAATTTTTCTAACTACCGAATTGTCGACATATTTTATCAGAAAGAATCGTTGTTTTACTGTCTATTTCTACTCTTAGAAAGAAAATGTCAATTAACTCCAAAGTGATAAACTAATGTCTTTAAGATGAAAAAGCAAACAGTTGTTTACAAAGCATGAGTCACGGTATTTTTCAAGAATGGAACTTGAATAGTTTAAGAAAATACAAACAGTTTCTAAGTGGATGAAAGTGTAAAAGGAAGTACCCACAATAGACGTGACATTCAAAATTTCTTGACTAAGATATGAACGATACTTTTATTGTCCATCATTTTACAATTTTTAATATTACGTCTATCACAGCTATATTTTTTTATATTTTCACTGTTTCCATCCACTTAAAATTTTAACAAAGAGTTGTTAATTTACAGTATGTTGCACGAAGTTTGTCTCTTACTGAATACGCAGATTTCGCTTAAATTTTTTTATTTGACGCTGAAATACATTTAATTGTTTATAATTATATCGCAAAAATATTATCTCTCTTCAAAATTAATCGAAAATGAGGCTGAGAATTCGTTTTTTTAAGATCAGAAGTGAATAGCGAATCAAGACATTAGCATTCTACCGTTAACCCTCCTGCCATTAGAGAAAACATGGCACTTGTAGAAGAAAACCGGCTATAGAACAAATGATAGCTATTTTTCTTCCAGACTCTATCTGATTGTTCTGTTACTTAACTTCTATTCTTTAAAAAACTATTAAAGTTCAAGTAAATACTCTAGATTGTTTAGTTTTGTTGAATACATAATAAACTTAACAAAGCAGAATCTTCAGCTTCACACAAGTTGCTTTCATTTTTAAATAGCCGCACAATATCTTATAAAACATTTCTTTGAAGTATTTTGAATTATTGTTTCAGAATAATTATTTGAAATTTTTAACTGTTTTTATTATTAACTAATATCGATGAAACAATCAGTTCGACTTGTATTTTTTCTCTTTGAGCTTTTCTCCTGCGTAATAAAAGAAAATCAAAACAAAAACGCTTTGATGTGTATTTACGTATGTATGTCATTGCAAATTAAAAAATATTTCTTTCTCAAAATAAAAAATAGATGAGAAACTTGTACACATTGAAATTACAAATGACGCTTTTCTCTTCCTCGTAAAAAAAAAATTGAACTTAATTTAGATGCAATTTTTGACATGTTAGTGACTTCTATAGAATTTTTTTTTAAAATATAGTCCAAAAGGTTCTGTTATTTTTTTTCCCTAGTGGTAAAACTTGTAATCGAATGTTCATATTCTTTTTATATACACATCACATATACTATGAAAAGAACAATGTGTTTCCGTCGTGTAAAGAACAAAGACAAAAAAAATGTTTAGTTAAGAATATTAACCCATATAAAACGTACATACGCCTTTCGACTTTGAGAGAGCAAATATGTACTCTATAACAATGTTAGTATTATTTCACTTTACGATCACTTTCAAGAATGAGATAGGTAAAAAATTTAAAATCAAACTACTTACTTTTTAAGTCTTTACCTGAACTTCAACATCATTATAAAAAATAGTAGCACTCTTGATAGAAATAAACCATTAGAAGTAGAATTGTGAATTAATTGCAAATAGTGCTGTTTTAATCATGATTAAGATTGTAGTGTGATTACGGAAATGATGATAAAAGATTAAGTCATAATTAAGAACAACAAACAAATATTCAACTTGATATATGTCATTCTTGTTCTTTTCAATATTTAAATTGAATGATAAAAACCAAGAGATTTATTTGACAATACCAGATAAATGAACAGTTTTTCGAAATTGATGTTCGAAAATTTGACGATGATGGAAATTTGTTCAGTATGCATGAATTTAATCACAATTAGAGAAATAATTACGATTAAAATCGCAGTCACTTTGCAAATTAATCGAGATTAGTTCAATCATGATTAACGCTGTCGTGATACAAAATACCCACATGGCGGCTTACATAATCATGATTAGTTAATTACAATTAATTTGTCGTTTGAATGAAATTTTTAATCCTTGATGAATCCATTAATCATAAATCATGTTAATGGAACATGCTCACAGGTAACGTTAAACTTGATAATCTGACATATTTTATGAACTGCATCGAAGCTTTTAAAAGACAAAAAGCTGCTTGCTAAAAAACACTCACTCGTTACTATCTATAGATACAAACTATGTTCTTTTCCTTTTTTTGATCATATTCGAGCTAATATAAACAAGATCTAGGTCGATCCGTCCCTGTCTCGCTGAAAGTTAGATCTGCTGGTCGTCATAGTGCTCACATAGACCTCAGTACAGTGCAAACTGGTAAACCTGTGAGTTTGAAACTTTTGACATAGACAAACAATTTTATTTAATAAACACACTTGTGACACTCAAGGAGCTCAGTGAAACAAAGGTGATGAAGTGAAACAGAACCGAGGTGCAAAACGTAACGAATGAATTGTGAGCGCTAGAATAATAATGAATTAATAGAAGTTTTTTTGTCTTTATAATACAAGGTTTTAGATTAAGTTGTAGTAGTAGTACTAATAGTGCTTGGTATGTAGATGATTAATAAATTTTTTCCATACGTCGCACGGAATTAAATCGAATATTACAAAACAGCACAACTAGATTACAGTGTAATTAATTTCTACTCACTTGCAATAACCTACACGTAAGCGTTATTCGATTAATTATCCTAAGTGCGCCAGTAACTTACATCCTTATCAGTATAATACAAAAAAGATCATTGTACCCAAAATATCTTAAAAACCACAAATTGGATAAATTTTCCTCCACAGAAAAGGCACATCTACACACTATAACAAACATAAAGTGCAAAAGAAGTACACTGATCGAACAATCTGTTGATAGAGAAGTGCCTCTTACAAACTTTTTTTATTTCTCGAAGTGGTGTGGTTTTAAAAGATCGAATATACTAAAAGCTTAACCGGACTCGAACTATAGCTTCGCTATAGTTGCGAAACAGGGTAAAAACTATTGTTTCAAAGTCACTGTTTCATCTGTGCGGGAAATGTCCTCCTTAAAGAGTATACATAGATTTAAGAACCTTCAGAAATGTATTGTGCTGTTCTTTACAGTGCTGTTTTAAAATATGTCCTCTCGATTCGACTCTAATTGGCTTTGTGAAATTAAACAACATCTAAGGCAACATCAAAAGGAAGAGTGAGTAATTAGGGACGAATCGAGATTAAATCGTTCGAAAACGCGACTTATCTAGTTTGTTTGGAGTAACGTCATGATTAATTCTATTCATAATTGATAGTGCCGCGTGAATGTGGTGATACATCGTCTTACATTAATTTTTTTATTTTGTGCTCTTTATTAATGGTGTTTCAAGTATGTCACCGTTTTACAAAATTATAGACTCTTAGTAACATATTTTATCAATCAAAAACAATTCCACCTTTGATCAAACAGTATGCTGATATTACGTCTCGTTTATAAGAACGATTTGTAAACGCACGTTTCTGTCCATTTAGATTAGGTAGTGAAATTATAAGACAATGGAAGCTAATAGCGACTTTCGCTTGAAAAATTCTTCTCGAATATGCTCTCTGTTATTTCAAACGCCCTATTCCGTTGTTGAGAAATATGAAAAAGCAGCTATTTTAGTTACAAAGAGAAAATTTAACGTACTCTGATCTTGGGCAAGCGAAGAAGGTGAGATGATCCATTAGCGCAAGTAGTATCGTGTAGAGTGCAGAAAACTATATGAGCATGAATATTTCACATATCTAGCAAGTACCATATGTTTCACACAAATTGAGGAACGTCGAGAGTTCTTCACCTGTTTTCTAATACTTTTTTGTGATATTGCAGACTTTTTTCAAAAAGATTATCGCGTTCAAAAAATATTCTCTGATTTTAGAAAATTTTTATACCTTCCCTCGCTTGAGACTTTCGCGGCGTTACTATTCAAATTTTTATTACTGAAGTGTTTTTCTTCGAAGAAGCCCTGTACGCTGCTGAAATGTTTTTTTCTCTTTTCCTTTCTTTCTTTTTGAGTGGTAACTAAAATGTCTTTGTACAATTGTGACCATCCATTTTTTCTTTTCAAATTTAAATTAAATCACTCACTACTTTTCTCTTTTGAAGCACGCGACAAAAGTCTTTTTTTTTTCAATATAAAAGTCGTACCATAGTCGCTAACAACAAAGACCATTGACTATATTCATTACTCATATACTCCATCAACTCCAAGAAGGTGAATAATACAAACGAGTGCATGAGAAATTGGCGTTCGATGCTCTGAAAAAAAGTATCAGAATTCCAAATTGAAACAAATAAAATGCCCCCTGAAAAAAACAAATTAACGTGTTATTTACTTTGTTCTGTACATCTGTGGATGAAAACTTGAGCATAATTTAAATTATTTTTTGGATTAAAAGAACATTGTTTGCCTTTATTCTCAGTGTTGACTGTATTCGATTAGGCATAATTTGTACAAAGCAGAGACATTGCGAGGACCGAAAGATGGAGAGAGGGGATTTTCTCAGAAATAGTGTGAAATGTGAAAAAAGTCGTAAAATTGCACTACTGTTTTATTCTGAAAAATGCGCTATTCTGAAAACTGTGTTATGAAACGAGAAATTTCAATCGTTCCAATGTTTGAAAACTAAAAGATTCTTAGAAACTTTCAATACTGGAAGAAACAGTAAGTTTCGGGAGAATATCCAACAGTATATATCTATATATTCCTAACAGCTGAACAAAATTTTGTCTAGTCAGAGAAAAGTTTGAAAAAAAAGTCCCTGATATTCCCGCAGAAGACTAAATAAATTTTTGTCACGATTTCGAAA